GTGTGATTGGAGCCCAGAGAGATGGAAGAAAAAGGGACGTGAGCTGAGATGGAGGAGACCATGTGATAGATTCTGGTGTCCACCCTCAGGGCAAAGGGAGAACTGCTGAAGGGACGTGTCAGCTCCCGATGAAGGTCGTCAGGACAAGATCACAGTCACCATGTGACAAGCTCACATTGGCTGCTATGTGGGGAATGGAGCGGTGGTGGACTAGGGTAGAGTGGGTGCAGGGAGACCATTAGGAATGGTGAGAGCTGCTGGCAGCTTTCATGAGGAAGGTGACTGTAGGAAATGGAGAGAAGTGGACAGATTCTAGAGGAACTTTAGGAGGCAAAGTTGCCAAGGCTCTCATTTCTTTTTGGGCACATAGTGGGGCTCCCCGACGTGAATGAAGACAAAGATCTCTCCTGGAGTGGACGTGGAAATGATAGACTCATAACATACTTCATTGTGGAAGACCCAGGTGGCATGAGATGCTGGTTTTCAGGACCACCTTTTACAGGAGGACTTTAGAGTAAGTAGGCATTGCACACTTTGCTACAACCCAGAAGAGTCTCCAATTACCTATGAGTAACAACTGCCAATAGTAATAAGCACCATTTAGTAGGGAAGCTGTGTAGGCTCTGGAGACATATGGGAGTTATATAAACTCTCCCCATGCAAGTTGTTTAAATTCTCTTTGCCTCAGTTACCTGCTCTGTAGATTAGGGTAATAATAGTCCCTAATTTACAGGGTGGTTGTAAGGATTAGATGAAATAATCCACATATAGCACAGTGACTGAAACACAGTAAGTGCTTAGGAAATATTGGTTACTATTATTATTAGGATAATAGTGACATCCATCTCATTAAAAGGACACAAGATCAAGAAACAAAGTTTAATCATTGTAAAAAATGTAAATAGCTTTATAGAGCTATTATTTATAGAGGTTCACATAGCATTAAGCGACTCATGCAAAGCCACACAGATCTTAAGGAATGGAGCTAGTTTTTGACCCAGATCTGTCTGATACCAAAAGCTGTGTTTTTGACCACTATGCAATGATGCTTCCAAAAGCCAGGAAAGGGGACCATCTCCTCACCTGCCGTCTTTAATTTAGGAAGGATGCATGCTGCAAGAGACTGTAGGCTAAAGGGAAGAGTCCATGATGAGTGGAGACCCTCAACTGGACACTGACTAGAATGATGATCTTGACTGTTTATCCTGCCCCACGTAAATGGTAATGGCTCCCACACCATGGTGGGCACAGAAAACTTGATTCCCAACGTGTCAAATCATGAAAATAGGGAAACCTTTCCAGTTCTCCCAAGGGCCTTTCAGAAGATAGAGATGGTACTATTAGGGCCAAGCTTATAACATTCTTTTCTCATGAAGTACGCAACATTGCTTGAGGTAGGTAGTATTGGGGTTCTTACTTTACAAAGAGGAAACAGAAGCTTAAAGAGGTTCAGTATCTTGCCTGAGGTCCTATATCTAGAAAGTGACAGAGGCAGCATTTGAATCCAGCTCTAGTTGGCTACGCTGGCCTCACCAATTTGTGATGCTTGTCTCCATCTATGCTGCCCCTTCTGTCCCCTCCCTACTCAACCAGCCCAAGGCCCTCCATTTCTCTCTTTCCCCCTACTGAAAAGGATCTGATATCCATCACGTGCAACTAAGCACGTTGCTTAGTCGGCAACTATCTCTCCAGAGATAATTTGTACTTAAGCTGCCAGTGGTGTGCTGGAGTCAGTTTGTACTGGCCCATGAGAACTGATTCTAAAATTTTCAGGAATTTTGTGAGCAGTACGTATCATGTTGGTAGTTTGAACTTGGCTATCATGGGAATATTTACACCAGAGAAATTGGCAAACACTGAGAATCAGGGTTCCCCAACACTCTCTACTGCCACTACACTACAATGGTTGTTAAACATGTACCAGCACGCTACCGGGCCCTAATCTCTCACTGTTTTTTGTTAAAGAATGCCAGGCATCAGGGACCACTTTGTAAAGAAATTGGCAGGCACAAGGGAGCATCTGAAATCATGCCTGCGTGTGAGCCACCACATGCTAGCTCTATGCTTCTTTCTGGCCCACTGGTCCAGAGGGATGAAGGAGCTGCCTGGCCCCCCTGAAAACACTGGCATATCCCAGTAGAGGAAATAGGCATCTGACATAGAATTAAATCCATGTTAAAATGAGAGGCTCAGTCAGGATGATAATGACAATAGGCATGGATATCTAAAGTCAGAAAAAACATACTTAATTTGCAGATCTACAAAGTTTGTTCCTGAATAGGTAAAAGAATTATTTTTCATATGCTGTCATAAATTTACAGAATTTTAGAGCTGCAAGGAACATAAGTTTGCAAATGAGGAAAAAGAAGAAGAAGCTGAGACCCCCAAGAGGGGCAAAGGATGGCCCAGCATCAGACACTTCATGATGCTTGTATATCTCTCCCCACAGACTTGTATTTAGCCACAGAATAGAAGGAACCAGGACCCTGATGTTTGCCTGACTTTGAAGAATCCTTTAATGTTTCCCTTCATTTGAAATTAAATGTGCTATGCCACCCTGTTAGCTCCTTCAGAGATATTATAGTGATACAAATAAGAGCTAAATTTGACTAGTTGATAGGACTCATGCTAAGTACTTTATATATTAAGTTGAACTACACGAAATTGGCAATATCTGGCCTTTTTTGATCTACCAAATGGTAAATTCAAATAGTTCAGTCTAAATACATTCTGTTAAGCTTTACCATCTTCCCACAAAGTGAGTACTATTATTATATCCATTGTACAGATGGGAAAGCTGAGGCTTTAATTTCGAAATAAAAAGTTTATTCCCACAAGTGTAATGCTATTCTTATTTACGGGCGGTGCACAAGGCACTCATGTGCAAATTGATGGCCCTAAACAATGGAACATACATAGGACATAAACCATGATAACTCACATATCTTACCCTTCTCAATGACCTCAGATAAACTTTTAACAAATAAATTTCTATAATATCTAAAGTAATGACTTAAAATGTTATTTGTGAATATAAGCTATGGGCATTAGAAAACGGGAAATTCGATGTTTGAATATCATATATCCGCTATATCCCACATGGAAATCTTAAAAACTATAGCTCAGGGCTCCCCAGAATAAATTAATTGTCCTGGAATTTTTCGTAACATTCAAATGAAGAAGCAAAGTGATTTCACAACATTGTCTACATGCAAATTATAACCAACAAAATTCTGAATCAAGACTATTTGGTTGTGTGATTATTTGCAGATAAGATGGTACTGAATTCACAACCAAACAGTTCCCCAACAGCAATGCTGCTCAGGAATGATCAGTACTAACTAAATGAGATGATGCTGTGTTGGGTCAGGAAAACAAGTCGGTGAAAACTGTAAGATGGGCTTTGAAAAAAAAATATTTAAAGGAAAATGATTATTCTTTCAATGTGAAACGAACTTCTAATATCTCATTCATAAAAAGAAAAAAATGGACTGATGTCATGTGGATTATCGGCTCTATGTGATGAATACTCTAAGTTCAGAATGTGACCTCTGGCCCTCTATTAATTTAGTCAACAAATACTTATGGGGCACTGAACAGAGAGGCCTTTCCCATGGGTAATTCCATATGCTTTCTGATTGATTGGTTGATTGTTCTTGGTAAGAGGCTGCTGAAGTCTCTTTTCACCTCTAAGCACGTCTTTTCACCTCTAAAGAACAGGCAGTACTATTTCACTTGCAACTTAAAAAACCAGGCATCCATAGAGTTCACAGCCAGCCTGGTTTCACTCAGGACTCCATTCCACTGAACAGTTCAAAGCCTGGCTCTCTAAAGAGTGTCTACAAAATCACACCCACACCCACTAAGTCAGATCCCAACAAGGAATTGAGTGCCTTTGTCTCTAAGTGATCATCTAGCACCTAATGTTATTTCCCCTTCAGTAAAATACAGGTGAAAACTCTTGCCCTTCTACCCTACTGACAGAAAAACAATACAATGATACACTATGAAGTCATTGTGCTTTGAATAATTGCGAGAAGGGCTAAACAAGTGCTATTTTATAGAAACAAAAGAGTTTTAAAGAAGAAATAAGTATTGTAGGTGGTATTTTCAGTCCTTTCATTTTATAAAGAAAGAAACTGACACAGAAGGTAGAAACATTTGCCCAGGATAACTCACCTAGAGAGAAAACGAGTTGGTCTCTGACCCCTTGCTCAGTGCTTTTTGTACCAAACTACATTGTCATGATTATTCATGTTGCTCTTATTCTTACTGATGTTATGGAACATAAGAATATATTTAGTTACATAAAAAAAACTGACCTAGCTTAGCAGCTGTAATCATCTGGATAAGAACCAGGTCTGTACTGCATAACACTTTGTACGTGGTAACTCTAGTCTCCTGGGAAGTTCTCCAAGGGATGAAGAGGTTTACCATCGCGCCTTGCAAATTTTAGACAATTAAATGCCCAGGGAATATTATTCTAAGTTATTAAGTGAGCGGTGACCATTGAGACAAATAGAATTTAATTCGTAAAAATGTTGACTCTGGACCCATCACTGAACCATTGTAAGTACCAGTTTCATCCACTATAAATTAAGCAAACTGGGCTAGATCGTCCCTTAGCTCCCAGTGAATGCTAATATTTTATTAATCTATGTTCCATAAAACGCAGTATATTTCGAATGAAATTCAAATCCTATCCAATCATAACATTTGCCACATGAAATATTATAATTCAAAATTAAACTTTCGGGGGAGGGGAAGCTAATAAATATTAAACTTACTCTTTTACAGATTTTAGAACTGAAATCACCTAATACAACCACCTCATCTCTTGACTTTTTTGCACATTTCTCTTCTGATTACTCTTACTGTACTTTTTAGGTGTTATAACAAGCATGCACGTGTTCCCTGTGTTCTTATTTTATTCTATGGATTCAGCGCAGTCTAAATATAAAATATTGTTTAAAAAAAAGAGAAACAAAGTGCTCACATACCCCATGACGATCCTCAAAGTACGCCAGGCTGGTTTTGGTTAAAACAAAGAAACGGACTTTAAAGTTCGAGGGAGAAGTTCTTCTCTTTTGTTGGGATTTCTTAATTAGCTGTTCTTCCAGGAGGATAAAGTTGTTCATGATCCAATTCTTGAAAAGTGATGCGCCCAGGGCATCACCCCTTAGCACAACCAGAGGAAACAGCTTCGGAACAAGGAATGCGATGGGGAGGCAGTTGATCTTCAGAGCGTTGTTCAAAGGCAACTTGCCTCCAACGTTATCTTTCTATCAATGTTCAGTCAACATTGCGGAGCCTCTGCTCTGATGTCAAAGGCCATAACCACATCCTTTCGAAATTCACAAAGCCAAGAGGCCTATGTAAAAAATACACATACCCTTTGCTGTATGGTTTGAAAATGAAGAAATGAAAACCCTTAAACTCAAAATGATATGAAGGATTGGAGTTTAATCTTTGTAGTTCCTGGTTTAGCCCATCCAACAGTTAAGGCATGTAGCACAAAGGGTGGGAACATGGGCCCATGGAGCCCATGAGCACCGCTTGTGTATTAGTTTTCTGTTGCGGCAGTAATAAATTATCACAAACTTAGTGGCTCACAAATTTTTTTCTCTCACCGTTCTCTAGTTCAGAGGTCCAAAATGGGTCTCATTGGGCTAAAACCAAGATGTGAGAAGGGTTACGTTCCTTTCTGGAAGATCTCTAGGGCGGAATGTGTTTCCTTGCCGTTTCCAGCTTCTAGGACAACCCGCATTCCTTGACTAGTGGCCCTCTTCCTCCATCTTCAAAGCCAACAACAGCAGGTCAAGTTCTCTCATCCATACAACTGTAACCTCTGCTTCTGCTTCCCCCTTACATATTTAAGGGTACCCTTGAGATTACCCTGAACCTGCTTAGATTATCTAAAATTATCCCCATATTTTAAGGTCATCTTATTAGCAAACGTAATTCCATCTTCTACCTTACTTTCCTTTTGTCATGTAACCTAACATATCCACAATCCAGGAATCAGGACACGGATACCTTTGGGCAGCCATTATTCTATCTGCCACAGTTTGAATTCTGGCTCCACCACCTAACTAGCTGGGAGACTGTAGCCAAATTACTCAAGAGCTCCGAGCCTCAGTTTTCATCTGTGAAAAGGAATAACAGTGCCCCTACACAAGGCACTATAGGGCTGCTCTCTGGCTTCCTTCCAGTCTCATCTCATTCCTTGTTCATGCCTTCTCATGTACTCACTCCAGCCTTCATGGCCGTTCTTCACACCGCTTTGAACATCTGCTTACTTTGCCTGAAAATATCTTCTCTCCCCTACTTTGCCTGGTTAACTCTAAATTATAAATTCCTTATGACCGTTGTAATTGTACATTTTGGAGGGTGATTTTTGGATTAATGTTTGTCTCCCTCACTGGTCTCAAAGCTCCATGATAGTGAGGACTGTGTGTGGTTTTGCTCACCATTATATACTCAGCCACCATCACGGTGCTGGCACATAAAAGGGATGTTTAAGAAAAATGTATTGAATGAATAAAGACCAAACTGGATCAGACAATTAAAAGAGACAATGACCATAAAACACTTAAGAGAAATATATTGAAGGTTTTTATTTTTTTATTTTTATTTTTTGAGGAAGGTTAGCCCTAAGCTAACATCTGCCGCCAATCCTCCTCTTTTTGCGGAGGAAGGCTGGCCCTGAGCTAACATCTGTGCCCATCTTCCTCTACTTTTTATGTGGGACGCCTACACAGCATGGCTTGACAAGCAGTGCGTAGGTCCACACTCAGGATCCGAACCAGTAAACTCTGGGCTGCTGAAGCAGGACATGGGAATTTAACCACTGAGCCACCAGGCCAGCCTCTGAAGTTTTTTATTTTTTAAAATTTAAATGAAAGCTCATAGAAGTTTCTCTGCGCTGCAGAGAGATGATTGCTTTTCTATCCCAAAACTTAGTGGAAGAGTAGAAAATAAATTCTTTACAATGGCACAACAAACAAAGCATGTATGGGCTCTGAAGACAGACGACCTTATGTGGAAATCACATCTCTGTCACTTACTAAGCTGTTTCTCTTTGAGTAAACTACTTATCCTCGCTGATCCTTAGTCTCCTTGTGTGAGTCCTTTTGAGGGCCGAATCCCATAAACTCTGTGAGTGGTGGGTGCGAGTCATGTATCTTGCCCTAGAATTAGTGCTTAGTTGAAGTGAGTCCTATTTCTAGCATGAAGTAAATAGCCAAGAAGTCTCGGTGTAAGCAGAGATGGCATATACTGGTCAGGGACAAAGAATGAAATAAAACAACCATTATTGCTAAAGAAGAGTTCAATTATCTAAAATTTATTTTTTTAGTGCAAATTACCAGACTACAGTTTAAATTCATTTCATATATTAGATGTCCTGGCATAATCAAGACACTCGGGAGGGTGGGGGAGGGGATAGTTTAAATGATTCCCCCTCCCACATTCGTAGGTTTTAAGGCATATATGTGGAAATACACCGCCCAAAAGATGGAGTATTTTTTTTCCTCTTGAATATGGGCTTGAGACAGGGATTGCTGTTTTCGCCAAATATCTACTCTCCCCTTCTTCTTGGGTAACTGACTTCCTGAAGGTTATCTCGGCATCTGGCCAGCTAGAATAAACACTACATTTTTCAATCATGTGACTGTTTTTTAGCCAATGGAACATAGCAGAAGTCATGCGCACAACTTCCAGGACATGTTCTTAATGGTAGTCATACTCTTTTCCTTCTCTTTTTCTTCCTTCCTACTGACTAGAATGTGGATATGATGGTTGGAGCTGGAGCAGCTTTCTTATATCATGAGGTGAAAATTGCATCTTGGGGACAGTGGAGGGTAAGATAGAAAAATTCAGGGGCCCTGAAGACTTTGGATCCTTCGTGCCAGCCTGAAATCACATTTTTCTTTTTTAACATAAAGAGAAATAAAATTTTGTTTTCTAAGCCCGTTATTTTGAAGTTCTATCATGAAGAACAAATGAAATTCTAACTAATACAGTGCTATATTCCAAACTAGATTGTAAACTCCTTTGAGAAGGGTAGATTTATTCTCAAACTGTTTTCATTGGGAAAGCTAAATACTATTAGTAGCTGTTGTAATAGGAGCCTTTCACTTGCGAAGTCGCCATGGAGTACAATCATAAGTAATTTTATTCTCCCTCCATAGAGCCTTCAAACCCACTCACTGTGCTTGGTCTTTGTTCCCACCTAAGTGTAACTTTAAGAGGCCCAATATTTCCCCATCACTTCCAGGAAAACATACATAAAAATAAATAATTCCTTTGTTTTGGTTTCTGAAAGTCCAACTCACGGGAGCTAAATTCAACAAGCTCTCACTTTCCAAAGATGGAACAATTTGGGCATTAAAATGAACCATAACTGCAATTGATTGAAGAACAATTGAAATGTTAAAATCATGAGTTCATAAGATAGTTGAAAAAAAATCCCAACCCATTGGTTACTTTCAGAGGATGCCAGAAAACCAATTTATTGTTCTGAAAACTAGAAAACAAAGGAAAAGAATAAAATATATTTCCTGTTTTTTCCTTAAGAACTATACCTCCATTTAATAATCAAATATTTAATGAGGGAAAGTCCTTCTTTAGAGAAAAATTCCAATGAATAAATGAAGGAGTAATAGAAATCACCTTTTTGCAATCCTAATGACATAATTGATCTAGGCAATGATCATCAACGGCTGCTAAAGTAACTATGTGAAAAGCCAATAAGAAAATTTATGATTTATACATTAGACTGACAACACTGTATCACACTGATCAATCTTAACATCACAAAAAGAGAAACAACTAGACATGACATGTCTCCTGATGCAATGTAATCGGAAGTACACAAAACCACCTAAGCAGAACTCTTGCCAAAAAAAAAAAAAATCAAATATTAATCTCATCAAACCTCTAGATGTAAATCCGAGTTTGCAGGAAACAAGAGAGATAAAGGAACACGACGAATGACACCATGGAGATGCAATTAGATAACTCCAGAAAACAGAAAATGCTAAAGACAAATGATCCTGTGTCTGCAACAAATGAGTCAGAAGGAGAAGCAATAGATTAAGAGAGTCTTTAAGGGACATATTGAGCATGTGGTGATTTTTGGATTTAGATGCAAACAAGTTAATTGTATAAAGACATTATGACACAATTGGGAAATCAGAACACTGACTGCATATTTGATGATTAAATTATTACTGATTTTTAAAGGTGTGATAATGGCACAGTTCTTATGTTAATAGTGTCCTTATTATGCACAGAAACTTACTGAAATAATTATTGTTAAAATAATAATGTGCTCAAGATTTGCTTTGTTATAATCCAGGGGAAGGGGAGAAATAGGTAGGGGAAGAGATGAAAAATCTTTGTCCATGAGTTTGTCCGTGAGCTGAAGCTGGGTGATAGGTAGGTGAAGGTTCTTTATTCTATTATCCTTACATTGCTGTATGTTTGAAAATTTCCATAATGGAAAGTTAAGAAAAGATAAAGACTGGTCCAGATTAGTGTAATAATCAAAACTCCAAACATACATTAATGAATGCTTTTTTTCTCAACCTAAGCATAGGTCTTCTTCAGGCTTCGATGCATGTTGCCTTTTCCACTACGTCCTAACTCCTCCTCCTTCCCTACACACTAGCCTGGCTCCTGATCCACCCTTTCAGCCTCAGGTCTCGGGGAAGAAAGGAAAAAGGCACAGCATTCAATGAGACTACAGCTGTAAGCTTGGGTTGATGCCCTCTGCATGTGGTGAATACACGCTCATTACTTTTTCTTTCACGGGAAGGTTTTGTCATGGTCATTATTTTCAGAGGGCTCTGACAGCAGTTCTCTTGGTGAAGGAGATGCCACTCTGACTGGCCAATGAGCCCAGCCCTCAGCTCTTGGGCTTCTGCTGGTCCACCTACCACGTGCCTTCTACTCCTCCAACTCTGATGGGGTCCCTTTGCCCATCTTGGTTGTCGTTGGGTGAATTTTCCTTGAAGATGAACTGCACGTCACTTATTCCTTCCCATGGCTCCAGTGGAAGACTCAGGCATCCTTGCCCTGCCATTGACGGATGTACCACTTGCCCCAAGTGCAGCATCTTCTCCCTCTGACACCAAATAAGCAGCTCGTCCCTAAGCTTTCACCATTACATTTCTCTAAATGGGATTTAGACACCAGTCCTTGTCTCCTAAACTCTCTAAGGCTTATGTCAAGCTCACGGAGGAGCCCCTTAAAGTCCCTGTCCCTTGGCTTCTGGCGGATGCAAGCACCCCCTCTC